CAACCTGGAAGAGGTTGCGGTGGTGGAATTCTCCCTGACTTTCTTCGGCCGCGACGCTTCGGCGACTCCTCTCCTCCGGAACTGGATTCTTCGACTGCCGAAGTGTCCGTTGTTAAAAATTTGGGACTCAACATTGTACTCGTCCTGTACGCGGTGAAAGCTCTCGATCCTGCAAGAACAAATGCTACATCAATTTTTATGCGTTTTTACTGTGCAGCGTTATAGCGCTATAGTGCTGCTACAGCGATCAAAGCGCATATTGTCGAGACGGCATCCGCGTGCGCGTGTGTGTTCGGAAGCGAGTGAACTTTGTCATCCATTCTCATCTCAGCAATTAGGAAAGCTGGGAGGATGAAATTTTGGGTATATGTTCCTGCCCCATGTGTTACCCTTCCGTTTTAAGATCATCCCCCACAGGTGTCTAGGTCCCGCGTACGGACCCTCGAAAAAGATATACAAATTTCTTTCGCGGAAAACGATTTTGCGAACCAGGCAATGTACAAAGCTGAAACTTTGCAGGGATATTCTCCGTGCATGTGCGAGATAAGGATTCCAAATTCAGCTATCGCGCACGCTCTTGCGGCGCGTACGATAACATCAAAGTTTGCACTTCGCACCGTCCTAACTCGAAAACTAGCCATATAGCAATGGCTGAAATTTTGTCAGCACGTTTATCGCCCAAATGGAAAATCGCATACTTAAAATGAGTACCGACTTAAATTTGCACCACGATTTAGGACATTCAAAAGTATTTGTAGCGATGTGGTTACTTCGCTTGCCAGATAAAGTACGAGGCTGAAACTTCGTTTTCAAATGCAGTCTTAATTCTGCATGGAAGTGAAATATTCTGCAGATGGACATGAGAAATATTCAACTCTACCAAAAGATAAGAAAAAAGTGCATTTTGCAGTGAACGACTGCCCTCATCCTCTCCTAACATTCAGCTCATTTATGTACTTGGACTTTTTGATGAGCGACTGCTCTAGCAAAATTTTCACTTTTTAGTGAAGAACTGAAATTTTTGCACTTTCAAAAATTCGCACTTTTCATTTTTTTCAAAAAGCGAGCATTTATCGAAAAAACGACCGGGCTTCATGCAAAAACTGATAAAAATGTACTTGGAGATCCATGCAGCCTTATAGTGTAACACCTTCATCCCAACCGATGCCCTTTCTCCTGCATGCCGCAAGAGGCCAAAGCACAGTCAATATAAGCTTGGATTATTCCTGCTATTAGGGATCTGCGAGTTTAATGCAAAAACGTATGACTACACCGGCAAGCCTAGTGCATTCCAGCCTTGGTGTTCATAACTGGCAGGCGGGGGAGCATCAGGCTTGCCGCTGCGACCAATGAATTTTTGCGCTAAACATGAAGCAGTCAGATCATCAACAGTGTGAATTATAGTGTAATATGTAAACTCATGTTGGCTGTATTACAATTTGATACATTTTGTCATTGCATGCAAGAGGAAAACGGCGTTAATTTGGATGGCAGTTTTGCATCACATGGCTGTATGAAATCTTGATCTGCGGCTCGCGCTATTACCGTAAATTTATTCAGCAGTAGGATGTTCATTGGACCTAGGCGTATCGAGCAGCTGAATTTGAAAACCTTTGTTTATATATGGGCAGGAAACATCCCCTTAAAGTACCAGCTTTCTAGCTTTCTAAATTCTCACTTCTCCGTACGTGAGACGCAGATGTACCAGGAAGCTAGATTTTAGATCTTTTGATCGCATGTGGACAAGAAACATCCCTTTGCATTTAGTTCTTTCGCATTTCTGGTCCCAGAGTTATTAAATTTCACGCCAAATTTTTATCTGTCTGCACGTGAAACTCGCACACGCTAAGAAGCTGAATTTAAAATCTTTTGGCGGTATACTGGTGGAAGCGTCCCTTTAAAATTTCAGCTTTTTAGCTTTTTTCTCTCCCGAGTTAGCAAATTCCCCGTCAAAACTTTCACCTGTGCGTACATGAGACTTGAAAGTCCAAGGAACTGAATCTGAAATCTTTCGGTCGTACGTAAGTAAGAAGTATCCCCTTAAACAGAGCCGTCACAACATGCATTTTTGCTACCGGCTGTGGCGCTCTAGCGCTGCAGAGCAAAAACAATGAGCTCTGCTCGAAGCTGTTTTTATCAGGCAAATGTTCAATCAACAAGTCCAGCTACCAGACAAAATAATTGGCCAACGCACGGGCTACCCGTGCGAAGATGTGTTTTTTGCATAGCTCCCCGCAGATTTTTGTCGCTAACGGCACTGGTTGTTCCGGCAAACGGCTCTAGCTAGAAGAATTTCAGACTGGGGGCCAGAACTGTCAGGAAACATCCTTCAAAATTTCAGTTTTCTAGCTTCTCACGTTCTCCAGTTAGCAACTTACCTGGAAGAAACCTTCACGGGCCCGTACTTAGGTACCACGCTTACCCGCAGGCGGGGTTTGAACTCGTTACTACCCACCTGGACAGGGGACATCCCCCTAAGATTTCAGCGTTCTAATTTCTCAGACCCCCGAGTTATGAACTTACCCGAAAAAGATTTTGGCGGGCCCGTAGGCGGGTACCACGCGGGTGATGGCGCCCATTTTGGGGATTGGGGCCGGCACGTGCATGTAGATTAAGTTCCCAAAATTTCAGCCCTGCAGCTTTTATAAATCTTGAGATGAAAGTGTGTGAGAGACGCACGCACAGACACACGGACACACAGACAACCCCTCGTCAATATGGGTTTTTTACATTGCATGGCTGCAAAAAACGCATAAAAAAATTTTCCGCGGATAAAACCTTAGTCTGTAAAGTGAATGAAATAAAAAGCGAGAAGCAAGCTTAAGCAGCCCATGTTCTCGCGATTTTTCTTAAACTGACTTTTCCTTATTGGACCGGACAATATTACTGTATTTTGCTCCAGTTATATGAATATCGGAATGACCAAAGACAGGGGAAATCAAAACGCCCTTCGTAATTGCTTTCCGTGATAGACGCAGGGACTCGAAAAATGGTTCCGAGTAGGAGTAAATGCCAACAAAGAGCCATTCGTTGTTGGAGCTGCGACGGCTAACTTTTTTGGGGGTTGATTTAAAAGCAAACCGATGGTGTTTCGACTTCCCAATACTTATTGAAGCAAACGAGCGAATCGTACAGATACTGGCTGTGCTTCTGGTAGGGGATTTCCTCGCCCTTTTGAACGGCAGCAGTGATACTTCCCGCTGCGCAATGCTCACCTTCATCAACAAAAAAAATACTGTTCTGGTTGAGATGGCAAACAAATAAAACTCATCCGATACATTGTAAAAAGTGTGAATTTTAAAGGCAAAAAATTTCAGTTTAAACTGTAAATTAAGGCAGCATGCACGCAGAACTATTTTACTTATTCAATTTATTGAAGAATGGTCAGATTTAGTATGATATAAATTCATGTAAGAATAAGAACTACGACTTTTTTTAAAATACTGTCTGTTATTAGAGATTGCAGATGTGAAAATCGCGGATGAGATGCAACAAAATGAGTTCAGCAGTATCTTTTTCTAGATAGTGCTGAATTCG